AGGAGAGGATGTTCTAGTGATTCAAAAGGGGTTTTAAATCAAGAAATATCGTCTTAGAATATGAATTTCTTATTAATAGGTTTCCTGGAATAATCCGGCTAAGGAGGGAAAGAAGGTGAGAAAGTTAGTCGCCGATCAAACATTTTAGTCTCTCGTGATGAAGAGGTTCACGCCGGTTAGTAGGAGAGGAAGAGTCGTGTCTAGCGGAGGCGGGAGGAAGGTCGAAAACTTGGCAATTGCGATCGCGACAGGTGGGGGTAAAGTGATGGAGAGGTCCCGACCCTATCCTCCTAGACGACCCGGGTTGTCGGGAGTTCGAAGTTGACCGCTGAAATGTGGCCGGAGGAGGGACCTCGAAGAGAATGGTAGTGGAGCTCCAATGGTGAGGGTCGTCGAAGAGGAAGACGATGAACCGATAGAGGAGGAGTCAAAGGAGGAAAAACACCCGAGGCTTGAGCGTGAGAATGCAGACGTTTACGCGACTAAAGTGGTGAGTTTAAAGGGGTAAAATCTCCGTCGAGGTGTTTTAGTTTATGTCTTTTATTCAATTATGTTTGTTGTTTTCAAGTAAGCGTGATTATGTGTGTGAGGCATCCCACTGCCTACTTAATGTGGAGGCACGCATTGTGCTATGTATGTGAATGTATGTGGTTGTTGGTAAGATGAACCCCCGGGCGGTTGGGCCACTACTGGACGCAGTAGATGGTCGGATCACTGCTAGACGGCGAGACGTAACGCATAAGTTGATCGTGTATGTTGGGGTCACTACTGGACGGCGAGACGTAACGCAGTAGTTGACGGGGCATGGTCTAGATGGCTAGACGTAACGTTGCGCCCTTGTAGAGTTTGGGTATGCATCGGACGGCGAGACGTGACGCGGTTGGCATACTAGGGTAGGACACCAGACGGCGAGACGTAACGCGGTGGTCCTAGTGTTTTGTGTTTGAGTTAAGGATAGAAGTCAAGAACTTTTATGAGTTAATGTTGAAATAAGTTATTGAGTATGAAAGCGAAAATGACTTTTGTCTAAGTCAAGAACCCGAATAACGTGTTTTAGTAAGGATGATTATTTAGGAGCAGAAAGCGAGAATGGCTTTCGTGCTAGGAAGGAAACTCTAATAACGTGTTAGTAGAAAGTTTGCTTAGGGCAAAGACCTTAGGAAGTAATGACGAGACTGACCCCTTCTCACTCACTAGGTCGAGGAAGGGTTAGCCGAGGCGGATTTCGAGAAGAGGCAAGGCGAGACGAGTGGTTGCACCAGCATTGATGAGAAGTCAAGGAAATCGTGCAGAGTCAGAGCTAGAATAGTTTAATTTCTTTGTTACATGGTTAGGAGTGTAAACTGGAGGTTCTGAGTTCATTCATTTTAAGGATTGGGATTATCATTTGCCCATGTGTTCAGGCTTTCTGTTTGAAATTCTTAAACATTGTTGGTTTATTTATTTATAAAAAATTTGTTTGGGTTTCTCCGGAGTAACCGGTTTTTGGTTTGAGTTATGGTTTGGTTTTCGAAAAAGAGTTGTTCGCTACATAGCATCCTTAGGTTGTGCATTTAGGTGCTTAGCAACCTAAGGATTGTGCATAATTGTGTTTAGCACCCTTAGGTTGGTGCATGTTGGTGCTAGCAATCTAATTAGCCACCTAAACTAGGTTAAGTTAGGGCAACCCTCAATATTGAGTTAAGCAAATCGGTTAATCGTGATTAAGCCGCCATACCTTAGAGTTGTGTGAGGGAGTAAGTCAACTATCGATTTTCTAAACCGAGAGAGGGTCGAGTGACATGGCCTTTCATGCTTACCTCAGTTTAGAAATTGAGATTGTGTTCTCCGACCATTTATGCATCCCTCTGCGGTTCACGATTACCGTGCCCAAAGCAATCGTTCCAATGCACATATCATGGTAGCAGTTTGGGGGAAGCGACACCCGAGTGATCCTTCCGCAAAAGAGTTTTCAAAACCAATTACCTTTGCTTTCTTTAATTTCAATTAGTAAACCTTTAAACCAAAACTTTGTTGCTAGATAATGATTTCAACAACTGAAGTAGCGGTAGACGGACCAACCTCGGTCGATATCTAAATACTTGCCCTGTACTGCACGCGACTAGAGTTTAAAAACTTGGGCTCTAGTTGGAATTTTATTGTGGTGTAGTTTCGAGCGAGTCATACGACATATCTGGGATTTGCTAATTAAACAGTGTTCTTTGTTGGTGGCCTGGATTCAAGAATACAGGCTGCGTAGAGCTGATTTTTTGTCTTTGGATAGTAAAACAGGTCATGGTTATGGCAGAAAATTCTTAAGATGAGGGCTAAAGTTCAGGGATCTCTTGAATTAGCAGATGAGGTTGGTTATTGGAAAGGTCAGGCTCAACTGAAGTTCTACTTGAAACTTTTTTGGGAGGAATTCATACCAAAAGAGGAAATGATTACTTGGCATAAGATGGTTTGGAAAGTTTACTGAGGTGACGGGTTATGAATTGGTGTGTGGTGTTTGTGAACAAACAACTCATTTTCGAGAAATGTGGTATTTCAGAGTTATTTGAGATTGAAATATGGTATTTTAATTTCAATTGTCTTGTTTGGTTGAAAGGATTATTTGCATGTGGTATTTCATTACAAAACCCCAAAATTACTTTATCACCCCTGTTCTTCTTCTTTGTCGACTAATCATCTTCCCTTCTCTTCTTCTTCTCCACTACCCAAACAATTCCAAATTCAATGCACTTCGGAAATACCAATCTCACATAAGCAATCAAAGGAAAAATAGCTAATACCTGCATCCATTCATTCTTAATAGTTAAATCACATGGGCTTGATTTACACAGTCTTTCAATAAAACCCCAACAATTGCTAAAGGAGGTATCCCAACCCAAACAAAAGTTCAAGTTCAAGCAATCTGATTCTCTACAATTCTACTTTGTATGCTCGTTTTTTCCTTTGAGAAAATCACAGGGTAAAATTCCCATTATTGTCCCTCACCGTGGCCTCCAATACCAATTCATCGAATCTCTATCGCCGGAGTTGTTTGGGTGGCGACCAAACTGGCTCTCTACCTTGCGTCAGAATTGCAGCGAAAAACAGAGGCACCCGATATGTGTTCGTGACTGGGAACCCCCAATAATATCAATCTAAGTCATCGTCTAGAACAAGAACCCCAAATATCAAAAACCAAAACCTCCAAAGCACCATAACCACCAAATCTTCAAAACCAGAACCCTCAATTCTTCAAACCTAGAGCACCGCACAATCAAAATTAAACTTTGCATGTCGAAAGAATCGTTTGAAAATATCATACATCCAAAGCACCAGAAAAGGAATTGCAAGATGAAACTCGGCCAACAAAGTTCGTCCAGATGAAACCACCCATCTATGTCGCCAGAGAAGGAATCGTTGTCGCATGTTATGAGAATCAAGCCATCGTAACTATTGGGCATCGATCTGGGCTTGGTTATACACAACATCGCAAGACACGCTTCTGTTTGCCGTCGCACCCTCGGCTTGAGTATACTCAATCTGATCTGCAAAAAAAGGAGGTCGTTGCTAGCAGAATAATTGATTTTTGTGGCGTTGATTTTGCTCTCTGATAGCCATGGATGGATACGAAGGAAAGAAGAAAGGCAGGAGAGAGGAGAGGGCAAATAGGGGTCAAAATATTGCTAAACGCGTTATTGTGAAATAACACCCCTACATGTGTTATTTCAAATAAAGTGAAAACACGTTAATCTCAAATACCGCAAGCCCAATTAGCTCAATTGAATTTTTGGTTGCCAAACGATTTATTTCGGCCCAAATAACTCATCACAATACTGCATCCAAATGATCCTTGAAGTTATTTGTGCAATGAGTTATTTCAAAATAGCTCATTTTACAACTTGCTTTCGCCAAGTACCACACGCCAAATACCAGATTTGCAAGGTTATACGAAACGAGATATTTTAATAGGAGAAGTCTCTTGAAGGCTTTGTACGGTGCCCTCCAACAGCTCCACTTTCTCTTTGCGGCGGCCTTCAGCGGCGCGTGTGTTGGGCGGGTTTGTCATTGGCTCTGATACCAAATGTTGGAACCGTTGAATCAACGATGTGATTTTGTTCTTCTTTTTCTGGCGAGAACCAGCCAGTTTGGGAGACTCAAGTTTTGATAATAATTCACTGCCTTCTTTATTGAATCCGACTCCTTTAAATAGGAGAAGTAACCTAGAACGGATGAGTCTCAGGAGATGCTCTTCCGATTTTACATAACAATCAAATCAAATCAAATCAAATAAAAGAAAACCGACAATATCCCACTGAATCACCTAAGGTGATCGAGAGTTTGTAAACAAACCAAACGAACAAATCTATCCATCCTACAATTGAAGGCAGCAACTGATGGTACTTCTTCCTTGGTGGGCTTTCTAGCCACGTGTGTATGAGCTTCTGCATGAGCTGTGCGGATCCCTTTTACGTACTATCCGCCTCTTCTTGGGTTGAACCTCATCATAATACTCATCATTTAATCCAATTACTACTGAAATAATACTAAAATACCAAATAAACAATTAATGGTGTCTTTTGGTTGCAAATGTTTGTATCATCATTACTATTAGCTAGTGTACTTTGCCGATTATGATTAATTGCATAACAAGTTTGCAAGTCATACAAATTGATTCAACATTTTGACTAGTTTTTTATGAAGTATATAGACGAGGTAGAAAGAAATTGGTTAAAATTTGAGAAAAATATTTTGAATTAGTGTAATAAAATGTGGAAGTTGGCAACGGGTAAGGAGTAAGTTACTCGATGTGCTGACCCGAACAACCCGCAACCCGACCCACCCACAACCCGTCAGACGACACCCCTTAACAACACATAGGTCCGTCCCTGCCGATTGAACCCAGCCCGATTGCCCGAACCCGCCGGATTGACACCTATATTCTTGACAAAGGTCACGACGGTGTTCCGATTGGCGGAGAACTACTAATCATTTACCCTTTAGGCATCGTTGTTTCGACCCTTTACAAATGGCTTCACAAAATCTGCCCCATCGTCCCTCCATTCTCTCCCACTCTCTAAAAACATCTCTGAGAAAGGTAAAGGGAAAAACGCCCAAATTTCCCGAACCCTACAATTTACAAAATCATCAGAAATCCATCGTATAATTTCAATTAGCCACCCATACTCCAATTCCCCCTTCGCACTTCCGACCTCCTCCCCCGCCGCCGCCCTACAAATCTGCCCTCGACGTTGACCTCCCCCGCCGCCTTCGTTTCCGTTCACTTGCCGGTTCGTTTCGCTCTTCCGTTTCCCTGAACAAAATCGACGCTCTACCATTAATTCGTTTTCCTTGCTTTTCTGTTCCTGTCAATATTCTTTTTGTCACTCCTCTATAACTAAGAAAAAAGAATGGCGAGACAATCCCGATTTTGGGTTTTCTCCGTCGGATTGCATTTAGGGTTTCTCCACTGAATCAATTTCCTTGCAAGTCAAATGGACTGATTAATGATGCTCCTAGTCTTTCCCAGCCATGCCGAAGCTGATTGTGATATGTCAGTCGGGAGGTAAGTTTGTCGCAGCGGGGAACGGCGTCCTGTCCTACTCCGGCGGAGAAGCACACGCGTTGAGCATCAGCCGTGAGAGCAAGTTCGATGAATTGAAGGGAGAGATGGCCGAGATGTGGAAGTACGATCCTAACTCCATCATCGTCAAGTACTTCGTCCCAAACAACAACCGGACGCTTATCACCGTCTCCTCCGACAAGGACTTGCAGCGCCTGCTCGATTTCCATGAGGATTCCGGCACGGTCGACGTCTACGTCCTTACCAATGCAGAAGCCGCCGCCAATGAGACTGCTCTTACCACAACTTCCATAGGGTAACTGTGTTAACCAGTCTCTTCCGTCTCCATTGTTTTATTATATCAACAAAGTGCATTATTGCCTGCAATTTGGTGTTTACTTTCCTTCTGATTTCAACTGCGTTTCTCTGGGGTGTTAAAGTAAGTCTGCCAAGGCAACTGCGTCCAGATCTCGAGCTGCAGCTGCAAGCCGCAGGAGAGCCAGGTGAAGATTGATATACAGTTTGTGGTTGATGACCTGACAAACGTTCTCTCAGCTTTATGTTGTTTCTACTGACTGCATTGGCTGGTTAATTTTATATATGAACAGGGAGGAAGCAGCACTAGGCAGAGAGCAAGAGCAGCAGGTCGCTACCGCAGAGCTCGAGCAAGCACAAGTGATGAACGTAGGAGAGGCCGCAACCTTGACTGCAGCACCTGGTAGCCCGCTGAACATCACTCCGGTAGCAAGCATCATCACCGACGGTACCCCAGCCCCACCACGGCAGATGAGGACTAGCACGCCATGTGCTCTCGACGTGATCGGAGAGCAGAAGCTTCAGAAAGTGTGGGAGACCTGCGTCACTGGACTCCACCAGCAGTTCAACAATGTTGGTGAAGTACGTGAAGCTTTTCGCCGTTACTCCCTCGCTCAAGGGTTCACCATCAAGTTCAAGCACAATGATTCCATGCGAGTGAGCGCAAAGTGCAAGGCCGAAGGTTGCACGTGGAGGATTTACGCCTCCAAACTGTCCACCACTCAGTTCTTCCGAACCAAGAAGTTTATCGACACCCACACCTGTGGTGCTGGCACTGCCTCCGCAGCACCTCCTCATGCATCCAGAAAACTGGTCGCAACCATTGTAAAAGAGAAGCTGCTCAGCACTCCCAACTTCAAACCTAAAGAAATCGCCAAAGAGATACAGGAGGAATTTGGGATTGAGCTGAGATATTCCCAGGCTTGGCGAGGAATGGAAGCTGCAAGGCAGGAGCTACAAGGCTCTTACAAAGAATCATATAATCTGCTCCCATGGCTGCGCGAGAAGCTGGTGGAGACCAATCCAGGTAGCGTCGTTTCCCTCAATACCTCCGACGACTCAACATTCCGCCGCTTCTTTGTCTCCATGCACTCTTCCATATTTGGTTTCGAGAATGGCTGCCGTCCTCTTATTTTCCTGGACGAGATGTCGGTGAGGTCAAAGTACCAATCGGAGCTACTCACCGCAACAGCAATCGATGGGAATGATGGGATTTTCCCGGTGGCGTTTGCCGTGGTGGACACCATTAACGAGGAGAACTGGCACTGGTTTCTCGAGCAACTCAAGTCTTCTCTTTCCATGTCACAGTCTATCACCTTTGTCTCGGATCGACAGATAGGTTTGAGACAATCTATCGCCATGCTTTTCCAAAACTCCTACCATGGCTTCTGCGTCCAACGGCTTTCGGACGAGTTGCTGAAGGATCTCAGAGGGCCGTACACTCAAGAAGTCGTCGATGTCCTTGTTGCTCACATGTATGATGCTGCCAGGGCATCTACTCGGGAAGGTTTTTTGAAATCCATGGACAGTATCAAGAGCATTTCCCCGGAAGCTTGGGAATGGATACTGCAGAGCGAGCCGGAACACTGGGCCAACCACATCTTTGTGGGATCACGCTACAACCATATCTCGTCAGGAGTCGCGGAGTCGTTCTACAGCTGGGTTCCTGAGATTCAAATGCCAATCGTCCAGTTCGTGGACACGATTCGGCAGAAGATTATGGAGCTTATCTACACCAGAAAGGTGGAATCGGAGCAGTGGGTTTCTCGAGCGACTCCAATCTTGGAAGAGAAGCTCCAGAAGGAAATAATGAAGGCGCAGTCGCTGCAGGTGTTTGCGTCCCAGACGGCAGAGAACACCTTCGACGTGAGGGATTACTTTGGTTCGGTCAACCACACGGTCAATGTGGAGTTGTGGAGTTGTTCTTGTAGGGATTGGAGACACAATGGATACCCGTGCTCGCATGCCGTGGCTGTGCTTCAGGGGATCGGAAGGGATCCGTATGACTACTGTGCCAAGTACTACTCGACGGAAGCTTTTCGGCTGACGTATAGGGAACCCATCAACCCGGTTGCCACGACGAATCGTCCAGTGCACGGAGGAGGGTTGGTTTCGGTACTAGTGCAGCCACCAGCTCTGCGTAAACTGTCGGGACCGCCGAAGCAGCGGAGGATTAGGAATAAAGGGGTGATCAAACGTCCATTGCACTGCAGCAAGTGCAAAGGAGCAGGGCACAACAGAGCTACTTGCCATGTTTTCTCCTAGGCATGATGTAGTGTTATAGGTTGACAATCAGATCTGTCTTTTTTATTTTAATTAGCCTAATTTTATGATGATCCTAGGATTTAGTGGAGTTGGAGCTTGCCTGAAAATGCTTTGCGGGGTGAGATGCGCTTAAAATGTTCTACTAGTTAGTTTTTTTCCAGAGAGATGTCAAGTAAACAATATTAGGACGGAAAGAACATTCCCAAATTTCTTACAAACGACTCTTTAACTTCAAATAAATAAATAAATAAATGAAATAGGCATGATTTAAGTGTCACTCTATGTGCAACCTAATTTGCTGTTTGAAAGGGCAAAAAGATATGTGGTTGAGCAAGGGCAGAAGGAGGGAGAGGGAATGAAAAGACATGTGGCTGAGTAAGCTGGAAATCACTATTATTATAATTACTAGCAATTTGCCCGGTCGAGTTGGCCGGGTGTGCGTATTTTGTATTGTATCGCTAAATGTCATCCTACATTTGTTATAATCGGCCTAATTTTATAAAAGAGAGCATATAAATGCCTTTTTCGTTGTAAAGCCTTAATAACAAACCAACCATATTGTACATCCTCCCCTTCAATCTTCTCTGCGTCTGTCGCCTGGTCCGCCCTTTCCGAATGTAGTCCACTATTATTAGGAAGGGAGAGGGGACTAATGTCAGTCTACTGTCAAGTCGAGGGAGACCTAAGCCAGTATGTTATCGGGCGGTGTTGGAAGCCAGTTAGGGATGCTTGCTTCGTGGATTTGAAAAATGAAGGTTTTCGTATAACTTGGATTTTGGAAACCCATGGATATATGAGGGTTTTGGATTTATTATGGATGTGATAAACATCAATGTTTGTTTGATGGATTTCATGATGTATTTTGTTAATTAAATTTGTATGTATGAGGTGAAATTTACCTTTATTGCCCTCAATGATACAAGAAGAGAAAGCAAATATGAAGGGTAGGTTGTTAAAAAATTATGGAATTCAAAGTCCATGATCAATTTCCACCTAAAGAGATGAGTTTTTCAAGTCCGTGGGGCCTACAAATTTGGACTCTCAAAGTCCATGGGTCCCACTGATTTGTTACTTCTAAATACTTGAAAAACAATGAATTTGGTACAAAGTCATCATGGATCCAAATCCATCACCAAATCCATCAAGCAAACAACCCCTTATTGGGTAAGTGTATCCAATTGTCATGACTGATATTGGACCCAAATGAACTCATATTCACTCTTAATAATTTTGGTCCTGGGTTGAGTTTGAATTTTGGTTTAATTTGGTCCATGTACCGCTACTTCGATTGTTTGAAGCATTATCTAGCGAATGAGTTTTGGTGTGAAAACAAAGGTCTAAAGCTAAATTAAATTGCAAAGGTAAAATGGATTTGACAATAATTGAGAAAGCTTCACCTGTGTGTTGCTCCCCCTAGCTAACAATTACAACTTGAAGAATCGAATGACAGTGTGTGGTTAGTGGGTTATAAACCGCAAGGAAGTCTAACAAGTGACCAAGGCTACCCTCTTAGTCTCTAGGTCAAGGAAATGAGATACGATCCAAGACACTAATGCTACCCTCTCTACCTATTGACCAAGGAATGGTTGTCCAACAAGTAGCCATAGCTACCCTCTTAGTCTCTAGGTTGAGGAAATGGGATACAATCCAAGTCGCTAATGCGACCCTCTCAACCTATTTACTAAGGAATGGTTGTCCAACAAGTAGCCAAAGCGACCCTCTTAATCTCTAGGTTGAGGAAATGGGATACGTTCCAAGCCGCTAATGCGACCCTCTCAACCTATTAACTAAGGAAAGGATAGACTTCACCATCGAATTGGAGTTTGGACGGCCACCCACAACCAAAACCTAAGAACTAATACAAAATAGGAGGTTTCCCTGCATTAACCTAACTAGGAGGCCACGAATTACCCAAGAAAACCCAGCATTCAAGCCTCTTTGAAAGAAAGGAAGGGGGTGGGTTTCTCTATACCTAGGTTAGAATGAAAATTAGATTGATAGGCTTTGACATGACATAATCATTCATGAATAATACCTTCATATTCATAATAAACACAACCACACACAAAATCATTCAATTCATACAAGCATCCACATAATTGTATCTATCTAGGGTTTACAAACACCCAAGTGAAAGAAGAGACTTCTCCTTGTTAGGAGAAGAGAAAACACAACAGAGGGGAAGGAAAACCATCAAGAAGATGCAAGCCTTGCTGCTTGTGTTGAAGAGATCCTCCTTTGGGGGAGGAATTCCCAAATCCTTGCTTGGAGATGAAACCCTAGCTTCTCCTCTTCTTTGGCTTGTCACTTTCTCACTCTAAAATATGAAGAAGAAGTTTCTCACACTAGGTCTCTCCCCTTATTCTTCCTTTCAGATGGCTCTTTACACTGAGGTCGAGCCCAGTTCATGACCTGAGTTCATGATCGTGAACATCAAAACGAGTCTGTGAACACAGCGTGCTAAACCAAAACACACCGCTTCACTTCTTGGGTTCACGGTTTGTGGTTGCAGTTCACGGTCTTAGCGACCGTGAACAACCTTGGCGTTAGTAACCTCAAAACACTCTCTAGACGTTCCTTGGTTCACAGATTGTGGCTCCAGTTCGCGGTCATGGAGACCGTGAACTCCAATGGCAGACCGTGAACATCAACTGTCTCCTCCTCTTTGCCCGGTCTGTGCTCCTTTTCTTCCAACTTTCGGCTATGTGGTTGGTTTCACCTGTTAGGATATGAAACATACTGAAACACAAGAAACCTCGCGTAAAACCACCCCTTTTGGAGCTCAATTGCAACAAACTTCAAAGAGAACCGGGGATAAAAGTGTACAATTAGGCCCGAATCACTCCCCCACACTTAGACGTTTGCTTGTCCCCAAGCAAACCATTTCAAAGAAGGTAATATCTCAACCTAACAAAATGGGGACAAATAAAAGGGCACAAAGTGGCGAATCTCAATGGCTATTGGCAATTAACACGTGGATCGTTGCAAGCAAAACCGACATCCACCACAAACAACATTCGAGGTCACTAATAACGGGCAAACGAAAAGTTCTCACCTTGTTCATGAATCAATGCAAGTCTCAACAAGATCACTTATCAACCACAACTAACCATACATAACATTCAAGTCCAAGGAACAAACGAATGGCCAACGAAGGTCCTCACCGGGGTATGATATGACATGCAAAGCAAGAATGAATCACTCACTCTCTTGACCAGTGGGGTCGGAACCTTTTTTGTGCAAACAATGTGCACAACCATCAACACTCAGCCCTATCGTCTCTTCACCACGATGGCAACCTCTAAATGTTAGAGTTCACGGGACGGTTGTCATCACTAGCTTGTCCGAAGGTCTTAGACAAGGGTTCAAATGAATGGCAATTGTCTTGGCTATGGGGAAAAGGCTTTTGGGTGGTGGAAAACACATCATGAGGTCCTACATCTTCACCCTAGACCAGAAGGTTCTATGGTTTCGACTAAGAACCTTCCCTATAAACAATGGCCACTAACATAGACCAAAAACCTTACTTATCCCTTCCAAACTATCACCCATCATGAACTACCTTTAAGCACTCTTCCTCGATCTACTCTTGCTATCACAATGTGGGGGTTTTAATGGCTTGAGTGCCAAGAAACCCCACTTAGAGTATACTCTTTGATTCTTTAGTGGCACTCTCTAATTTATTAACCCCGTTTTATTACCTCTTTTTTTTTATTCCTTTTCTTTCTACTTTCCTTTTCTTTTTCTTTTTGAGGGGGGTACTAGAGAGTTAAACACTTGCCACATTACCTTTAACAACCAATGCTCTCTTTTAAGAACTCACTCCAACACTACTCTTTTCTCTTTCATTCATAGCAAGAACCGCTCACAATCCTCCTATGTAGAACCTCAATGGAACTCAAAAGCGAGAGCTCCAGGACACAAGGACGACTCACGTATAGACACGAAGGAAGGATGGAGGGTCGTTCTATCAACACCATTAGCTCACAAGCAAAAAGCTCCTACACGAGAACGACCCCAAAGTCACAAGGCTCAAAGGGGTTGACTAGTGGATAAAATATTTTGGGACAAAATCAAGCACACAAGAAGAAAACGATCGGCTTAAAACTCACATGACTACCTAGTCACCCAATCATTCATTCCAATTTGACAAAACCCAATGCATTGCAATTGTAATTAACAAGTAATCGAGTCAAGACATCCATTCATTTTTGCAAACATGAGAACTAAACTTTTGCACTATCCTAATGCATCTCTCAGTCATCATCATAGGACACACTCGATCACATGCAACAATTCAAGGTCAACACCAATAAACACGAGATTCTCCTACAAACCGGCCACTTTGATCATGCAAACATTGCTTGGAGCCCTCAAAATTTTCAAATTTGGGCATACATCAAGGCTCAAAGCATCAATCACACTCACACAAGAATAACAATAAACTACCCCCCACACTTAAGTTCGACATTGCCCTCAATGGCGTAAGATAGGGGTAGAACGATGTTACCGCTTGGCTTGGTGAGTGAAAATTGGAATTTTTCCAAGGTAGGAGAGTTTAGCTTAAAGGAGAAGACCAAAACACACACACACAAACACAACACATACTCGCTCGAGGCGAGGTTATTACACAAAACAATACGATAGTAGTAGTTGTTCACACATACTAAATAAAAGAATTAAAAATAAAACAATAGAGTTCAGAGTTCCAAGTGGAGAAATGGGGCGAAAGGAATCGGCTCTGCCACATGTCTCACTCATCGGCTACCTCTCATTGGGTCGAAGTCCCCGACTCATCATCTTGAATGAGGCCCTGGCGACGAGCGATACGCTCAAGCAGGTCGGTCTAGCCGGGAAGTGACACCCACGATGTGGGTCTCTAGACGGTCCATCCTCTCCATGAGGGAGCTCGAGCAGGTGGCTGCTCTAGAGGTGGGACCTCTGGTGGTAGAGGTAGTCTCTCAATGAACCGGAATGGTCTGAACGATCCCAGCAAATGCATGGAATGCAAAGTTCTCTCTTCGAACCCCGTGGAGTGCCCTTCATATGTGCAGCCCGCCAGATTAACATTCAAGTGACGAGTAAGAAGGGTAATATAGGGCCCCATTGATGTGATATATCGTCGTTTTCCCCCATGGCTATGGAAAAAGAGGTGGCCAAGAGTGAGCCAAGATGAAGATTTCTAGACAGATCCGCATGAAAGCAAACGCTAGAAGGATCCTCTCGGTTATCTTGTTCGGATTGTGATAGCTCGGGTAGAGGGAACGGGA